AAAGAGTAAGGGAGGCAGGTAACACTAACAAGAAGATTCTGCTAAACATCTACCTCTTGTGAACTTCTAAGAGAAGCAACACTTGGCTGGAAGAAGAGTACTGGAGAAAAATGAATTTAAGGAGAAGAAATGGCTTTGGTTTTGAAGTGTAATTACAACCATCATAGAAATTTTAAGAACTGAAAGAAACATTTCAAAACCAGATGGCAAGTTCTGGCTTAGCCAGCACAGAATATATTGCATATAAGGTCTCCGTAAAACAACAGAAAAAGAAAAGAAAGGCTTACACATCATTAAGTTCAGCTACTCTTCCCAGAAACTCTTCGTATGTTAGGAAACCACTTTCTTGAACCAAGGAGGCATGCTTTGCTACCTTTTCTGGCAACTTGTTAATTACAGTTTGTGTGTGGTTTGAAATTTGTTGACCCATGGTGAAGTTCTTCACCTCAGTTCCGTAGAAAGAAGTTCTCATTCACTTGCAGAGTCTCTCCTAAAAATATTTTAAAGAGTTACATTTACATGCTTTGTGAATGGCTACTCCCTCATTTCTTTTAGTGTAAGAGTTTAGGTACCTCCTAACCAGTTTACTTATTCTACAATACCATAACTTGTACGGTCAAATCAGAAACAAAGCAGAACACTCAGAACAACCTGGGATGTGGGATTAACAACTTCAGAAAAACATACTATTTTGCTTATAGCAGTACTTATAGTAGAGGTAACTTTTCACACAGACTTTGCAGCAACTCCAACAAACAAATATATCCAATGAAACAGAAAATCTTAAGATGACAATGACAATTTATGACAGCATTTGTTTTTCCTAAATACTTGTGCATGTGAAGGTCAGAATGTCTGCAAACTGTCATAACAATGTGTGTTTATACATAGACACCACACTAGGTATCAGATTTCTTGTGTCACATTGACATTGGCAGATCAAAAGACCTCTCACAGCATTCTTCCTGGTAAACCAAGGAATCCACATGAGTGTAAACCAATTTAGAAGTCTCCATATTTGCACAAAACATTCAAATTTAGAATCTATTAAAGAACTGACTTGCTCACACCTTTCCTTTACATTCACATCTTTTCCCCCAAAATTCTGCATAAGGATCCACCCTACATTTTCTGATTCAGAGTTTTTATCCAATTCTTCCTCTTGATCCCTCTCATTTGACATTCCCCAAAATTTCTGCTTTTTTGTCCTGAAATACCAGAGGCACGCAAATTAATTATGCCTGTACTCAATTTGTCACTTGTAATGCAAACCAGTAGTTTTACACCCTTTTAAGACTGCTACAGACAGAGGCCTGCAATGGCAAGCTTACTGCAAAGCACCAATCATAACTTAAATATGGAATATTTAAATATGTGCTGCTAGGTGCATCACAAATGCCTTATGAGAGGCACCGCAGAATAACACAACTTCATCCTGCATGTACATATGTCAAGACCTTGCCACTGTGTAAGAAAAACAGGGCACACAAAAAACGTGTTCACATGAGAGCATTCTAAAAACTATTATGGTATTTCACGTAAGAGAATAAACTTCTAACATCTGAATTTTGACCGATTACTCGTCTCAGACAGATGTGTTTCCACTCAAGTCACTTTTCTCCTTCCAAGCCACTCTGCAATTATCTCCTCTTCTGCTATCTAAACGTATCACTCGGTGAGCACACACCCAGAAGATACACGTGAAGCCCAGCCCCTTCACAGCACAACCTTCCGCCCCTCAAACACAGCTCATCCCGGATCTCCCAGCCTGTGTGCGTTCCCTCTAGCTGGAACGCTGTCTCCCTGAGGAACCAACATGACACGCGTGATCCTACTGAGCTAGGAACATCAGCCTGTGCCACAGAAAAGTTTGGACGGAAGAAGCCCGTAGAGACGCTAGCAGCAGCGTTTCCTGTTGTGTATCCCTCAGTGCAAGCGCTACGAGGTTAGGGGCAGGCAGCTCAGGTGCACCGCTCCCTTCCCAGCCCCTCCGGCACAGGACGCGGAGCAG